CTCAAAATCTAGAGTGAAATATGTGGCAATGATGTTAAGTAGAATCATTGTAATTTGCGTTTCTAATGTTTTTGTTTGTGAGCATATAGTAAATCTATAACCATCAACTCAAATCCATAAAGAATAGCTGATAACTCCCCTTTGCCTGTACGGCCACAACTGCAAATAAATTATTTTTGGGGCACAGAGATAAGTTTTAAATAGTAAAGCTGAAACTCAAATTCATACCTTACTTTCCAAAGATTAAGCTCTTTCTACAACCTACTTTCTTCCATTTTGCATCACTAGTGGAGAATTAGTGCACAAAAATTACTCAGGTTTTGATTAATTTATCACAGACAATATAGTCTTAAAAAAGTAGGCCACCTCTAATTTAGGGTGTCTTATTTTGCTTGTGATTTAGAGATTATTTGCTGAAAAGACACATGTGCATTTCCACTTGTGGACAAAACTGCCTCGCCCATAAGGAATCTCAGAGGGAGAGTTTTGCTCCTGCATGCAAAATTCTTCTGAGACACTGAGAAATCCTTTGATTCCAGTATATTAGTTGAGAAAGTTTTCATGGGTATGAATGTAGCCCTCTGACACTCTGTTTGCCTTTGAATTAGCCATAGAAGCTCTCCTGTAACCTTGAACCTCTAGCCATGTTGTAGTTGTGTGATTTCCCAAACATCTGCTGGGGACTTTGACACCGCCGCATTCATTTTCTTATGACCTAAGCTGCAATTTCACTCAGGTCTCTGAAGATAAAAGCCAAGGAAGGCTTTGCAGAGAGCAGAGCACTTTCCAAAGCAGTTCTCAGCTTGTGGAACTGGGAACAGCTGCCTTGCTCTCCCCTTCTGGTCGGGAGGGTCTGTTGTTTCCAGCTCCCTGTCACACATCTGAGAAACCTCCATTTTTCTTGTTTTCTTTTCTATACCCACTCCCTGAGGCAAAGGCCAGCAGTCCCTATCCATCTGTCTGGAAAACCTGGAAAGAACCCTGAATTTTTATTTTTTTTTCAGTAAACTGTTTGAGGTCTTCGGATGCTACAGAAATAGGAATAAGTTCCCCACAAAAGCATCAAGACTAGAATCAGTTCTTGCTTCTTTGTAGTAGAAAATGTCAACATTTTTGCTAAATCGTAACAAGGCCTCCTTTTCAGTTTTAAAAATATTTTGTGGCTTGGAAGATTTGTTTATAAAAATTGTACCAACAAAACACAAAGCTTTAGGTTCAAAGTAGTTCTGGACATGGATTTTTCAAGAATTTGTTGATGCCAAAGCCAAGTCTGTTGATAGCAGTTAAATTTTCTACATAAAGTTGTCCTCAAGTCCATATAAACTCTCAGGCAAGAGATTTCTCAGATTAAGGAGTCAACATTCATCTCAGGTGGAGGAAGCCCTGATTTAAGTCTGCTCTCTGCATGATTCAGAGTCTCCCACAACCAAAGTGAGTGATGCAGTCTCCAGACTTTTCTTCTCTCAGACTGCTTCTCTCAGTCTCTTTTAATGAACTCCTTGGAAAGCAGGCTTAGTTTTAATGTGGAAAAATGTAGAATGTAAAACCTCAAATATTTTCACCAGACAGAACTTGCATTCCTTGGCCAGCCCCAGCTGGAAGTTATTGTCAAGGTTGCTGCTCATCAAAGAACTCAAGCAGAAGGCAGGGCCTTATTCTGGTATTTCTGTAGCACCTGTACAGCGGAGCCCTGCTCCATGCCTGTGGCTCTTTGGTCTGACATATGACTCCTGAGAAACATACAAGTAAATACTATTCAGTTGTAATCTCACAAATAGTCCCTTTAGGGCCATAGCTAATATGGTGCACTTAAAATTAGTCATGTGCTCAATTACAAAGTTATTACTGAATCAGAGGCCTTGTAGGCTGAAAATTTGATTAAGGAGTATTTCAAATTGAGAAAAGCCCCCACATTAAATGTTGTGGTTTTTTCCCTTACAAAGCCTAGACATATCAAATAATTTTGGAATATTCTTTTCACTTTTAATAAGCTTGTGCAAGCTATAAAGTTGGAAATGTCTTCAAATGAAGTTTATAAGAGTATACTTTTCAGATTTCAAAGCAAAAGAGAAGTCTGCAGTCAATGCATAAGAAATCCAAAGATTTTTGCCAGGCATTTTGTTTTTCTTAGTCTAGAGTTTTTTAAGTTAAGATCTAATTAATACATTATTATTCAAACCAACCAGAGCATTAAATGAAAAAATGTTGACTTAACAATCCTGGAACTGTATGTTTCATGACAGTTACCTCAAAGATTAATTAGATCTGCTCGAAACAACTTTGTGATGTGTTGATAGAAGTAACACTTTAAGTGGAAGCTACTGAAAAACCCTCTGAACTGTTACCGTATTTAAGTGCCAAAGTCAGCTCTGGCGTGAGCAGACCTCAGTATCAACACAAAAGGAGCTGCAGCCATGTGCAATGGATGCGATCATTGCCCCTGACTGAGTCCATTTGGGATTCCATACTCTTTGGTGGAATTTCAGTCCATGAAAGAAACAGTCAGGGCTGGGGAAACTGGGGCACCAGGCAGCTCATTGAGAGTTTAATGAAAAAGTACAGTGCATGACAGGAGGGTGTAATGCAGCTGGGATGGTGGGATGATGAGATGAGGGTGAGTAGGAGGGATAGTGTTGACTGACCAGTTCTTCTAGGCTTCCTGGACGGTCAGTGGAGAGACACTGGCACTGCCAGAGACTTTGGGTGAGCTGTGTCTCCCCATGGAACATGGAAGGAAGCCAGGTAGAGCAAACGTAAGGAGATAAAGGGACACCTAAAGCTGCACAGTGGAAGTGCTTTCTACACCTTCACCTACTGTGTGCAGACCTCCCCAGCACTTTCAGTACCCTCTGATCCCTTCCATAAATAAATAATTTTTCTCTTTATGATACTGATATCTTAACTAATAATTAAGCCTGTAAAATATGCAATCAAACTTTAATTTTATGAAGATTTGAGAAGGATAATCCAAAACCTTAATGAAAGCAATACTTTGTAAACATGTCCCCACTTTGCCTGGAGGAAACAGTGTATTGCACCTAAGAAAGTTATTTGTAAAATTGGGCCTGGTCCAAATTTAGATATATAAGCATTTGCCTAATCTTAATGAGCTCCATAATGTGCTTACAGGTAAATGCATGTTTAAACACATTACTGGAAGAAGAAAAAGAAGGCTGAGGCAGATCAAGGGGCTGAAAAAATAACCAAAAAAGAAAAAGAATTTTCATTGGACTGAAAAATAACCAAGGGGAGAAATACAGTTACTTATCACCTGGAACTGTTCCCTGTTGTTCACCACTAGCTCTTACTGGCCCAGTGGAAAAGGTGATGTGGCTCTAGGCATAATTGGCCAGGGCTGAAGGCTGCTTTACACTCTTAGCCAAGTGTGTGTGGAAACACAGCTCTCAAATCACTCCTTTACATTTTTCTTTTTTCTAGATATGATTAGAACTTTTTGCCTTTTCCCTCTGACGCTTTGTGCATACGTGTAAGCTATACATACTACTGCTGGTGGGAAAGTACAATTTTCCTGTCATAGAGAATGTTGACTTTTCACTGAAAAGCATCAGTCTCTCGCAGAAGCAAAACATTTTAAGCTGAGAATCATAAGTGTTCTAGTTTAAGTTTTCTTATTTTTCCTCAAAAGTCATTATTTTCCACTGAAAGCTAATATTCTTCATGAGATTTTTTGCATTAAAAGCAGTTTCACGAGCTCATATATTCATACTGTAGAAAACTACATGAGCACAGGTATTATTTTCTATCTGATTCATTGCTGATGCAAAGTAGTAATAATAAAGATAGACAATACATGTGACTTGGTAATGTCACTTGAATCTTTGGTAATTTGAATTTTTCAGAAACCACTATATGGACACTGAAAATAATAGACAATATTTTCAAGTGTTATATTTAGCAAATCAAACATTAAGAATCATTATGAAAGCAATCAAGATGAAGTAGAGAACATCTTGTGACACTGTATGACTCCATAGCTTGTTTGCACGTTAGTACAGTTCTGTTCCCTATATCAAAAAGGAAATGATAGACCTGGCAAAGTTTCAGAGAAGAAAATTAAGGATGATTGAAGGTATGGTACGCCTTTCACAGAAGGAAAAACTGAATCACTTAAGACTCTTCAATGTAGAAAAGAAGCCCTGCTAGAAGACAAAAAAGTGATCTAGAAGAGCAAAAGCAGCATGAAGACTGTGTATCAGTAGTTCACTGTCCTTTCTAGTAAAAGAACTTGGGATCATTAAATGCAACTGGAAGGAGATGGGTTCATATCCCTATAAAGGAGGCAGTTGTTCACTTGACTGTGAGTTAAGCTGTGATGGTCATTGCTGTAGGATGGTGGGAATACTTAAAGTTTGCAGGGGTTAAAGGAAAGACTAAGTAAATCCACAAGAGATGACTCTTCTGAGGATTCGTAATGTAGAAATTGTGTCTGGTTCAAGAAGACTGAGCTACAAGTGGTTGGAGGATGAAAATATATTCATGGGGATCATCATACATGTTGGGACTTCTTCCTAAGATGCTTTACTAGTGGCTGCTGGCACTAGCAGCAGTAAGAGACGGGATACAGCACTAAATGGACTGTCTGATCCGGTACTTGTGCTCTTTTGTGCATTAGTATTCATTACAGTCCTACGTACAGCTTGAAACTGTGATGTGTTAAGCACCTCCTGAGGAACCTTCACTGCTCACTGATATCCACTATAACTGACATTACTCACAGGATCAGGCTTTTCCCACTTGAGTTAGAAATACCTGATGAGTATCTACTTGCAAGTCCTACCTCCTACAAACAAGACATACAGACTCGTTTCAGTGTTTCACAAAATTTAAGACAGGGAAAAGAAAATAACACACAGATTACCCACAAAAAGGAGCAAAAAAATGCCAAAACAAACATTTTAAAAATTATAATTTTTAAATTAGAAAAAGGAAAGTTAGAATGTCAAAAAAGTTTTTGCTAATCATAATGGTTTGCTTTGTAGGTAAATGCATCCCGCCAAGAAACTAAGCTGATGGAAGAATGTGACCAGCTCATTGAAATAATCCAGCAGAGACGACAAATAATTGGAACCAAAATCAAGGAAGGAAAGGTAAAAGATTTTCTTCTTTAGATCACAAGTAGGTCAACACTGCTTCCTCATACTTATGCCTTTTTGGCCTCAGATACTATTAATACAAATTTGTAAAAGTCCTTATGTAGTTCTGGGCTACTACTACTTTAATGTAAAGAGAAATTAAATATGTCAAGATTGGTATGCTAGACCTCAACAGTTTATTTGGCATTTCTCTTGCTACATGTGATTATGATTTTTAAGGATAATCACAAAAGTGATGTCACCATCAGTAAATTATAATAAAATGATGACTAATTAATGATTCCTTCACTCTGTAATATGTCTGACAGTGTTTTCCCCGTAATTTTCACTTTCATAGAGTGTTAGAAAATTTTATATCATAGCTCGCAATTATCTACATTAATGTGTTCATCTTGATACTTTAATTTTTTATTAAATACAATCATATAAATAATTTGTTTCAATCATTGTCATTCTTGAGAATAGGAAATCTAGTTTATTTACAAAAAATATTCAAAAACATGCAGGAAATTAAATGAAGTGTGTATTTTAGTTACTGAAATACAATGATTATTGGTGACAAACATATTGAGCAGGAAAAATCTCATATTCACCTTTCAACACATTTTGCTAGCTACCCATTAGCTCAGAAACACATTAGAATTGAATTAACGTTCTTAATTTCTAGGTACATGATGTTTACTCTTTAACTGCTAAACTAACTATGTCAAATATAAACTCTTCTTGTGTGGGAAAAGCTTAGGAAAGGATTAAAGTCAAGAGCAGGTTAAATGGTTCATGTGGTTGTCAAGATTTTCCAATTAACTTGAAATAAAAAGCCTGTAGGCAAGGGCTGATTTAAACATGTTTGAAACCTCACGTCCTGTACATTGTGTGACAGAACCTGAATTTCCTCATGCTATTAAGAAAATATAATTCTCTTAATAAAATTAAAAGATGGCCTCCTGCATTATTGTTTCAACTCTTTTTCTCTACGCAGAGAAACCAGCTGTGCTTGCAGTGAAATAGAAAACTTTCCGTTCATTTGGATGTGTGCTATATACTTGAGTTGCTTTTTATAAATCTATTGCTTGCAAAGATTTATTCTAATGCCCATGGAAAATTTATAACACAACTGCCTCCAAATTTATTTGAATGTAGCTAATACCAGAATCTGTCTCCATTCTTTGTTCTATTTTGTTCAACCAAAAACAATACCAATGAAAGTCCAGTTAAGATCTGGAATGTTTTGCCCCAAATGTCACATATGTTGTAAGATTGCAGGGGTTCAAGACACCCTCGTGAAAAGCCACAGGAAATTCTGCCCAATGTACCCTCTTTTAAGAGAGCCTGTGTTTAAGTGTCTTTCTGGAAGGTAGGGCACAGCAAATTTGCCTGTAGGACTATAGTTATGGTTACAGATCTGGAAATACTCAGGTATAAATTTCTAGCTATGGCTGCAGGGCTGTAGATTCAGACACAGAAGTCTAACAATGTGGTGTATCTCCATACTGAATCTCACCTATTACTCAAAACCTATAAAATCCCACATTGCATGTAACAGGAGAAAAAAACCAAACACTTAAGTATCACATAAATTATTTTAGTTCAGACTTCTTTCCTGCCATTGTGGGAGCAGGTGAGATGAGACTTTTCCTTTTAAAGGTTATCATCATCTTCTTGGAGAAGATATAAAAAAGAATTAAGCAAACAAAAAACCTAGTTCATATGTAGACCTCACAAACCATGCATGCCTTTGATTTCTAAAAGCTCACAAGATAACATTCATTTCAGTTCATTGTTTGTTTTTGTTAATTAATAAGTAAATAAAGAGATGAGCTATTTAATACTGCAGTGAACCTTTCCATGGTTAAACTGGTGTAGACCAAATTGTAATCTCTGCAAATGCACAGTTAGAGAAAACATTATGACATTAGTCATGCTAGAAGCTGATCAGGTCATTAGCATTATCAAAATCTTTATGTTTTCCCAGCATTTTTCTCCCTTTATAGTTTTGATTTTTAGAAGAAATACTAATGTTACCAGACACTCATCACTTGACCAGTGTCAGCTTTTTGAAAGTTTTACAAAATATTTATTTTCCTGTTGGTTTCTGTTGTTGAGTAGATGCACTAAGATACCCTTATCTCTCCTAGGACGCAGTTATATCTGAAATTCAACTCAGTAACTTCATAGCTTGTGCCCTAATTGCTGAGATTGGGAACGTTACCTTGATTATAATTTTGGATATTTCTGCAAGTCCACATGGTTGTTAGTTTCCTAATATTGCTTGTAACTGAGTCTTAATGCCTTTCTAAACTCCAGAATTATTTCATTTCCTTCCTATTTCTTACTCCTGTTCAAATTATGATCCTGATTTGATAACAGTGGGAAGGACTCCCAGACCTTTCAGGAACTAGGAGTTTTGTTAGCCAACATTGTCTTTAAATGGAGGATTGACTGTGCCCCTCCCTAACCTTTCAGCTAATGATTACAGTCACATCCACTGTGTTTATCTCCAGCACATGTGGTTGCTGGAATAATAATCAGCTCTCCAGCAGTACTGTTCTTTTGTCCAGTTAAAAATATCCAACAAGAAAACACCCTGTCTGACTAAAAGCACATAATGAAAAGGGCAGGTGTGCAGCAGAATTGAACTGTCTTTTTCTGACAAGTTTTCTTTTCAGATTATTTTTAATGAAACTCACCTCAGTAATAGGAAAAAAGTAGTTAATCTATGATACCTTTAACACAGATCTCATCGTTTAGGGAAATGGTTATCTAAACAGTCTTTAGTTATCATGTAAGCAGTAAGTACCAGGAAATTATGTTTCTTCTGCTGGAAAATAGGCCAGCTGTGCTTGTCTTGGCTCTCCCCAGTTGTTTTCCATGTGGAAAATATTGAGGCAGAAGGGCTGTGCCTGTCCCCTCATTAAAAATGCTACACAGCTAGTGGAAGGGGCTCACCATCAAGCTAGTGTGAAAAAAGCTCTTGTCAGCAAAGCCATTCATCTTAAATCCCCCTTTCGATTCCAGCTTTGCCTCGGAAGTGCAAATGCAATCATGATTTGTGACCTTAGAGATGTGACAGCTTTCTTATGTTTCCACTCAAGGTGGTGAGGTTGAGAAAACTGGCTCAGCAAATTGCGAACTGCAAACAGTGCATTGAGCGCTCGACATCCCTCATCTCGCAGGCTGAACAGTCGCTGAAGGAGAACGATCATGCTCGCTTCCTGCAAACTGCTAAAAACATCACTGAAAGGTAAAGACGTTCCTCTTGCAAAACCTCTGTTTAAGGAGACTGGGTTGTCAGAGTTGCCATATTGTCTTGTCCCGCCACAGATGTGGTCAAAAGTGAGGGGTTAATTGACACATTCCCCCAAAACACTACTTAGCGCTGTACCAGAGTGGGAAGGACCTTGCTGTAATGCTAAATCAAACCATACCTTTGAAAAGAGGAGCAGTCAGAAAAGGATGCAAAATAAGAGTTAGAACAGTAATAGCATGCACAAATGAAGGAGGTAGCATGGATGCCAAGCAGATATCTGATGCTTAACACAATAAAAAACGTGAAAGGTTTCTGGAAGGTGAAAATCCAACTCCATGCAAAATTCTGAGATTAAGAAAGAAATCAGGCAGCAAGTACATTTCTTAGAAGAAATTTGGAACTATCTTAATGGATTTGTGTTATTTGCAAAATAGCAAGCAGCAAGATAACAAAATGTGTAACTTTGGGAACCTGCAACATGCATCTCTGAGGCAGACCACTCAAGAGTTGGAGATTCAACAGCTTGGGTGTTTGGAATTTATGGCGACTGCTGCGTTGGGTCCTGGGATGCAGGGAATTTCTACTGCTTCTAGGATCCTAGCTCTTTTTCAGCATGCCAGATATATCAAGGACCCAAAGACACAGGAGCAAACTGTGCTGTCAGAAAATTTGGTCCATTTTTCAGTGCTGAAACGTTCCTACTGACTTTCAGCAGTATTTTCTGATTAAAAAAATGTTCTGTTGGAATAATCAGCTGTTTAGTTATTAGAGAAAGAAAAAAAAAAGAAAATGTATCTGTACAGTGAAGAAGAAAACTATTTAAAAATATGCTCATTTACTCAGCTATTTTTTATCTCTGGGTTCACATTATATCTTCACATTGTTCAGCCAATTTTGAACTAAGCCAAAGCATGAAAATCCCTCCCTTTTGTATTTATTTTTTTAAGTTTATCACTTACTCTGGAGTGCTGTATGCAGATTCTCTGAATATTAGGCTTCACCAAAGCTATTTATTAAATTTCTAAATAAGCCAGCAACACTGGGTTGCTCATTACAGAATCAGAGAGCTGAAAACCTGTTGAGGAAGGCAAGACAAGGCTAGGCAAAGGAAAAGAAGGGAAGACAAGGCAAGGCAATGGATTACCTGTAATCGGTCAGACTTGGACCCTGGTTTGTATTCTGTCACAGAACTACTTTGTGGCACTTCTTTTTCCAAGCTGCAGCTGTTAGTAAAACTGCTCATTAGTACCATGAGAAAAATACCCGAAGGTGAGTGTCTGGTCTTTTTTTCAGTATTTGGTGGAACAGGCAGTAGGGCAGAAACCTGTGGAGATGCAAAGCTTTCTAACTGACTAGCAGTGAATATTCAGAGAAGCTCTATTTTCACCTTTTAAATATGAACAGTTGCATTGTACAGTCTCAGGAGAGACACTAGGAGAGCAGAAATGAGATCAGCTGACATATGTGCTCACTCAAATCCAATTCTTGGCTATCTCAGATTGCTGTCTGTAATGAGATGGCTGTGAATGCCCTGAAAATCAGAGAATCATTTCAAGCACTGAATAAAACTGAAGGGAAGAAACCATCACGTGCTTGCAGACAAACTGCAAGTGGAAAAAAAGACTAAATCCGATTAATAAATTATTCCCTACAAGTAACTCAGTTCTTATGTGGTGAGCAATATTTTGTTTGCTTCTAGACTGCTGCTGAAACAGTCTCACCAGGGCCCTGAGCTCCAGCAGCTAAAACAGTCTTCTGAAATTATGCTCATTGCATTTCTTCATGCACATATTTCAAAGTAATTGCAGTATAATATTCTCTGTTGTAAGCCCAGCAAGTAACTATGTATAGCAAAGACATTACATAAACTAGAATGATTTAGGCCATGCAGTATTTACAGTGAATGAAATGCATTTATCCTAGAAAAACCCTTTCCATCTAAGTACAGTGTCAGATACAGTAGGCAGAAGTACAAAAGGAAATTCAGTTCTCTGAACCTAATGTGGTGACTTGGTGTCTGAAATTATGAACTGTTGAGCTCACTGAAAAATTACTTTAAACACTTACAGTGCAGCCTTTCCATAGCCCTAAACAACAGTCCAGATGGGCCTGATGTTATGGTCTTCTTCACAATAAATGCATGCTTAAGGAGGTATTAAAGAAGTTCTTAATCTTAGATACCTGCTTGCTTGTTTATTTGCAATGCCTTTGTTAATTTTGTAGCAGTAGAGGTGTGTATCACCCTGAGTTTGCCCTAACACAGGCCCTAGGAGAAATGCATGTCTTTTTTTTCCTACTAGGTGTAAAAACACCATAGTGCAACTGCAGATGAACTACTGGGGGGTAGTGGGAGAGGAAAAAAAAGAAGTGAAAAAACTCAGGGATTATTTACTTCTAAGTAGATCGGGCAAAAAACACTTAAATTATCCTCTCTAAAAAACCTCCAATCTGTACTAGAATCTACTTTAAACTAAGTTCTACAACTACAGTTGCAAGAGAAACAGGTCTGAAAACTGTGTAACAAGAATTACTGATTAGGAAACCTCCTCAGCTCAGTTTTTTAAAACTATGCAGAAGACTATAAGATTTGCAGATCAGTTTTTTACTTTCCTAACTGTATTTTCCTGAAACACTACATAAGAAATTTATGAAAATATGATTCTTAGTAAGCATTTGGTCTGAAGCCATTTGAGTCCTGTCTACAGAGACATGCTCTAATCTGGGAAACTGTTAATTGAAGCAATCAAAATATTTTGATCTGACATGTGTCATGAATGATAGATAACTGACATAGATTGTGGGCATGATTGTGTGTTTACCTACAAACTGAAAGAATTCACAAATTTCTGTTGTATAACACAAGGTTTAATAATCTCTTTGCATAACCAGACCAAACTTTCTGTATACATATCCGGTACCCAGCTCTCTAGTAACATGTATTTTGAGACACCAGGCTGAAGTATCTGAACTCCATCGTGATGGCAGTTTTCTTGTGAAAGCTTATCTCTTTATATTAGTATGGCTGGGCAGAAAAAAGGTAGATGTAGCTTCTGAAATGAGCTAGGCAAGGAAACTTCTCAGTTTTGGAGGAAATGTAAGTATGCACATGTACTTTGTAGGGAAAA